CTGGCGCAGTATGGTTCATGGGGTCACGGAGAGTCGGACACGACTTAACGACTAAACAATGAATGATTCAATTAGGCTAGTGACTTATAAAAAGCTTCATATCAGTGATCATCATAAAACCTTAACTGAATCCATAATTTTATGAACAAGTTCTTACTCTCATCTGTCATAGATTTTCCATCATTCAGCTTCACTGGATTACTCTGTTCTGCTAAGACAAAAAACTTCTATCTACTTTCTTCATGCCATATCTCTTAGCGTGCCTCACCTATTTAATTCCCCTTTTAAAGTTAATGCTGCAAAATGTTGTATAAAAATTGTAGCTCCTTGATCATTTTAACTTTATGCTTTTTGCACCCTCTGTAGGAAAACAATATATTTCTGAAGTGCAATAACCAGAAACTTGTAATATTTCAAATGTGATTGTTCCATAGATTTATAAAGTCACTGTATTATTGAAAATTTTATTTGGCTCGTTTCCAAATTATCGTCAATAAGGAACTTCCTTTTCATATTGACTTGACACTTCCTTTCGCCACAATTCAAGATGTATTTCCCTGCCAATTACTGCAAACTCAACCCCACTAGCTTATGTGTGGTTAGGATTTTTTGTCTTCAATGCATCACTTTATACCGTTTACACAAAACCACACATGCAATTTTACTGCCCTTCCCTGCGGTTTGGAAGTATGATTTTAGAGACCCTTACTAGCCCTTTCTCTTTTAGCCAGATCATTCCTAACTCTAAGTCACATGTGGATTAGTTAAAAATATCAGGTATTAATATAAAGCTTTACAACCACCTACTATTTATATTCTTTTATTGTCAGAATTGCCCATGGAACTCCATTCTGTCATCTTTACCCACATCAGTTGTAAGTTCTCCACAATACAAGACTACTAAGTTTTTTCCAGATTACCCACTTTCCACATGCCTGTTTATGATTTTAAAAACCTCTAAAAGTTATTTAGAGATTTAGAACATGCCAACATTTAACAGGATTTCTTTTCCAGGAAATACATATAACACAGCAACTAAGGCTATTCCAGTGTACTATTACTCTGGTATAAATCCCACTGAATACACTGAACATCACTTCTGAGTAATCAGGCCAGATATGTTACAAGAGGACATACCTCTATATCCTTCTGGTTTATTGGTAGAACATGCCCAGAAGAGCATCCTGGTGTTTATGAGGGAAATCACTTCTGGTGCACACAGTGTACTGCTGTAAGAAGAGGATAATAAACAAACTACTTGAAGCTACATACAAAACATATTTTATCATTGATTTATTTGACAGATTTACATCCTGCCTTTTATTCAGGAGCTCACAGCAGTGTTCATAGTGCTTCCGCCTTTCCTTTTCCCCCCATAACAACAAGCCTGTGAAATAGGTTAAGCTGACAGCTTCCATGGCTGAGGGTGACTTATATGCAGATAACAATTTACTGACTTAATAACACCTACCGACAGAATTCATCAGTATCTTGATGATCATCACCATGCAGGTAAACAAGGAGAAAGCGCAACTCCCTCTTGGCATCATTCAGCGCCTTGAGAGAGAAAGCATAATTTTTTTGAGATTAGAGATATACAAAAAGCTTCCAGTCACAGAATAGGTGGTTTCAGGAGATCTTTGCCTAAAAGAAATGGGCATGTTTCAGGTGTTTTGGTCTGAGCTTGGAATGAAAAAAGGCTGTTTTGTCCTAGGCAAATGGATGGGCAATAGGAGAAAAGTCCAGGGCATCAGTGACTCAGTGGAGGCAGGGGAGGGAAGGCATGGGAAAGTGGAGGACGGGCAGGTTGGTGGAATATGCCATTTGGGAAGCAGAGGAGAGAGGGTGCAGGGCTGCTTTAGAACAAATAGGTCTAAAACTGGATATGACTTTCAGTTAAGGGTCTCCCAACAACCCAAAGGAAATAACCCCATTACAAGACAATATTCTGTAATCACACTTAATGAAAATCCAATTATTATCTAATCACTTACAAGCAACACTAATAGAATTTCGAATTACACCTTTAAATTAAATTTTACCAGTATTATTTTTGTAAAGGAAAGAAACTGCAACTGTGCTGCAAATGAAAACTTAAGAGTGGCTTTCCAAGAGATATAATAAAATGGGATTAGGATAATTCCATTTATCTGAGTCAACACTTGCACCAACCTGGCTGTATGTTCCCTGGTAGAAGACAGGATGTATTCTTCCATATTTTTCTTCAAACATATGAATAAATGAAACAATGTCACCTACAGGGTCAGTGACCCGACTACGGGGATCAGGACGGATAAAGCGCAAAGCAAACCTGAGAGAAAAACAGGATCAAAGCGTTTGGTGACTGGTTATCTAAGACTCTGAAGATGTGAATGGGCAGATTACAGTCTTAAATGCTCTAAACTAATTCCTCCATGATCTGCCACTATGATTTAAGTTTGCAAAACACAAATCCACATTAGGGATCAATCAATACTGATTACTGATTATATTTCTACTACATTGTTGTGCTAAAAATGGTAAGAAATGCCTTTTGAATCAAAACAATTCATTAGCCTTAAAAATTTTTGCACAATTTCTAATGCAGCATAGTTACTGGGTGGCAACCAGAAATCTGGCACTTATCCATTAGTAATCCATTCATATGTATTTATTTGTGTATGTGTGTCTGACAGGTTAAACGAGTTAACAATAACGAAGTTCAGAATAAAGCATAAGGTTAACATAAACAAACATGAACTAAGCATGGACTTACCTAAATATATCAAGTAATGTGTAATATGTAAATCGGAATGGAAGCATTATCAAATAGTAACCCCAACCTAATAAACCCTGAAACAAATAGAAAGTAATTATCATTATACTCCTTTTACACATTCATGTTAATGTCTTTCCTAGTGTGTTATGTTAGTGAAAGATTAGCAGAATCAGGGAAACTACTGTCATTAAGTAAGATCCTTAAGAAAACATCTAGCAATCATAACAAATGCTTCTCTGTGTTTCCCCCTCTCCGGTTTAGAAGATATTACAGTATAACAATGACACAAACTTCAGAATCTCATTGCCAGATTTTTAAAAAATGTAAACAAAGACATTTAGTAACTTTTAGGGATTAGTCAACATTTAAAACAGCTATTTAAAATGGTCAATGGCTACTTCACATGGCATTTTCATTCTACACAGAAAATAATACAGTTCATGAATAAATCAAATAAATTAATGTATAACAAAGATGTTTTGTGTTAGAACAGCTATTGTGTTAGAACACAAAAGTCTTTGTGTTTTAGTATTTTGTGTGAGAACAGCTGCACTTTTTGAGTTGGTAGCAGGGAGATGTGTTCTACACAAAATAAATAAGTTAAGCCTCCCAGAAGCTTTTAACATACTTATTTTATGGACTAATTCAACAAAAGTAAGCCAAAAACATTCTGTAAAGGCTCTGTGTTTACTATTTACAGTAATGTAACAAAAGGAAGCATGCCAGTTGTGGACATTCACAAGCCCAGTCTTCTATACAAAGGGATTCCCAATGACTCAAGCAGAGTACATGCAGCATATGAACAATCCATAACACAGAAAATACAAAGGAAATAACTTTCCCCGTGTTGGTCCTTTTCATATTAGCAACAGAGAACACCACTTTTTCTTTTTTAAGCACATTCAGATAAAATAACCTGCCCTTGGCTGTGGCCTTGAAACAACATAGCTGTAGATTCTGTGATCGGCAGTGTTGACCTGCAGTGGCCGAGAAGGTGGTGGGTTGAAGACACTTGGGACTCCCTCTTGTTCATTTAATCGATCCTGAACAGCTGCCTGCAGAAGGAGACCCACAATATATTACGCTCCTATTGCAGAAAATATTGTACTATTTTGAACACAAGAATGAGGAACTACCTAATGCACATGGACTTATCGGTAGTCTGCAGCCTGAAATACATTATTCAATGGTTTAAATAAACAGATTCTTCTTTACTAAACATTATTGTAGTTTGAAAGGCTGAGGAATGGCTAGAGGCAGTCAAAATGGGATACATGCAAATCTTCCCAGTTTTCATCCCCGTGAAAATAACCTATGAGGTGAATTGAGCTGAGAGAAAGACAGTAAGTGGTCCAAAATCACCCACTGAGCTCCAAGAATGAATGAGACTTGAACCGGATACCCTCATTCCACATCCAACACATTAACCACTTCACTGGCTCTAGAACTTGAAAATTTCAGAAATCTAGCTTCTTATAAATCCCAGTTTTCGCTTAAAGAACACAGTACTTTTTTAGTTCTTATAAACGAGGTATATTTGAGAGTTGTACAGATACCATATGTGAATAACTTATATTTCTAATGGTCAGAGGTAGAGCAGAATTGCAATGTTTTGTTGAATTCCCTCTAATTATCAGAATTCTGCAGAGTGAAACAAAACAGAATTATGCAAAATAAATTATGCTGATTAATACACTTATAAAATGTGAAATAACTTTTTTAAGTACTAAATGTACCTGATCATAACATACCTTAAAGAAGGAACTCATATTAATGTCTTTATAGATGAAAGATTACAATCAGTGCAATAAGAAAGCATGGACAAATGGCACAGTACCTCTATGTTCCAGTTGTGTTGCTCCAGTGTATGACGACATTGGTCCATGGACTCTATGCCAGTCAAATCCTAAGGCCAAAGGAAGTGGGGGAACAGATGTCATGGAAGGTGCATGTCATTTCTTGAATTAATTAACTAATTTATTTTTAGTCATTTCTCTTAGTAATTCAGATTTGCAAATTTTATCCTAACACAGCTGATAATTAAGACAATGCTGGATTCTAAACATGGTACAACCAAACTTTACATTTAATACTTACCTTTTTTTAAAACGTTGATTCTTAAAAAACCTTGGGAAAAACCCGAATATCATTGTTTTTTAGACTACTATTAGTTGGAAAAAAGTCAACTTTCCCAAAATGAAGCTACGGTGCCTAATTGTTGGAATGCTTCATGGTAATTCCTCCTGCACCAGTGACAGTTTCAATGGATGATGAGTTATTCCTCCTCTGGCATCTGAATTTGCATCAAAACTCTCCTCTCCTTATATTTAGCACTGTTAGTTTTTTACCATCCTCAGATGTACTATTAAAAATGATGGTAAATGGCAGCACACATCAGACATCAATTACTTTTACAAATACTGTACCCAATTAGATGGCAACATCTAAATGACACTGACTGATCTCAAAAAGCTAAGAGGGTCATATCTCATTAATGCTTGGATGGGAGACTACCAGAAATTTTCAAGAGCTATAGAGTAGACTGGGAATTTAGAAAACAACCTAGAAGGCAATGCCAAATAACTGCCATGTTGTTGCCAAGAAAACTACATAAACACATTCATGAATTCACAGGAATTGAGCTAAACTCAAATAAGGCTTTATTTTTTTTTTCTTCTGTAAGTACTGATTGGGTGCTCACAACATGGTAAGCAAACATGAAACTTGTTAAATCATAATTTGATACTATAAAAGCTGGGTTCTTATAATACAATGAGCAAAAACTAAATAAGCTATCCAACCTCCCACCAAAACTGGCTCAGCCATTAACATATTTTTCACCACTTAATAAGACTACATTCAACAAAAAGCTATTTTACCACAGAATCAGAAAGTAAGGATTGAAAGGAACCTTGGGGATCATCTGGTTCAACCTTCTTCCCAGTACAGGAATCCACTGCTATGCATCCCTAACAAATGGCAATCCACCCTCTGTCTCTTGTGAAAGAAGAATCTACCACCTTCCAAGGCGGTCTGTTCCGTTGTTGAACACCTCTTATTGTTATTTTTTTTCTGGATGTCCAACCAAAAGCTACTTCTGAACAATTTAAAGCCATTATTCTTCTTCTGTTTTCTGGAATAATTCTGAACAATCCTGCCCTGTGTTCTAGATGATAGCCCTTTAGATACTTAAGACATTGCATGTTGCTTCAGTCTACTCTTCTTCAGACTAAGTATACCCAATGTCTCCAATTACTCCTCAGTAGTTTTCCTTTTCAGGACCCTTATCATCTTGCGTGTTCTCCTCAGAACATGCTGCAATTTGTCAATGTTCCTCCTAAACTGTGGCGTCCAGAGCTGGACGCAATATTCTGAGTGTTATCTGACCAACGCGAAATAGAGAGAAATGACTTCTCTTGATCTTCACATTATATCATGTTTATGCATTTTAGGACAGCATTTTATTTCTTTGTAGTAGCATTACACATGTTCAGCTTCTAATCCATCACGACACCCATATCCTTTTTGCATGAACTGTGGCCTAGTGTGGTTCCTCCACCTATACCCCTGTTTTAGATTTTTCATGCCTAAATGTAGGACGTTGCATTTGTCCCTGTTAAAATTCATCTTAACAATGCCCACTGTTCCAGCTTGTCAATATTTTCCTGAATCTTCATACTGTCCTCCAAGGTGTTTGCTATCCCCTCTATCTTTGTATCATCTACAAGTTATTTCTAAATAAGTTCCACATGAAGCATACCACTTGACATTTTTCTCCAGACTCTTACCAAGCTGCTGACATACACTCATTGGGTACTATTATTGAACCAGCTCTGCAACCATCTATTAACATTTTAAAATCATCTTTACTAGAATCTTATAGAAGACTTTACTGTAGCCAAGGTACAGCAAATGTCCACCTAATTCCCATGGTCAACTAAACAGGTCACTCTGTCCAAACAGTTCTTCCCCATATGTACTAATATGTCTTGTTTGTCACTGCAATATGCTTGTAATTATGCTTGTAATTATCCATTCAAATAATAAAATACAAATTATTTTATAACAGATAAGCCTGATGGTAAAGAAAAGTTTAGACCATCTAAAGTACAGAGGATGGTGGCTCTCTGCTTACAAATTTGTCAGGAAAAAGAAAGGCATGCCTCAAAAAACAATGCACCAACAGCTGCCAATGCACAGATTTCCCAATCAAATTGCTTCTCCCCCCCCCCCACCCCAACCTCCGGTCTGTCACTCGTGCCCTGGTCATCTCTCGTTTAGACTACTACAATGCGCTCTACATGGGGCTACCCTTGAAGAGTATCCGGAAGCTACAGCTGGTTCAAAATGCGGTTGTGCAATCCTAGGTGCCCCAAGGATGGCACATATAACACCTTTGCTGCAGGAGCTGCATTGGGTTCCAGTTGGCTTCTTGGGCCAATTCAAGGTGTTGGTTATTACCTTTAAAGCCCTACGTGGGGCTACGTAAGAGACCATCTTACCCCCATCACATCGACCCATCCCACCCAGTCAGGCAGAGAGGGCATGTTATGGACCCCATCAGCGAGAGAATGTTGATGGCGGGGCCCAGGAGAAGAGCCTTCTCTGCCATTGCCTCTGCCCTCTGGAATATTCTCCCCCCAGAAGTGCAGTTGGCCCCTTCCCTCCTGGCTTTCCGGAAAGAACTGAAGACCTGTTTCTGCCAACTTGCACGGGGCAAGAGAGTTTTAACCAACCCTCGGGGTGGCTGGCACCCTGATGATGTTCCCCGAGACTTATAATTTTTAGTTACCATCAATTCTCTTGGAAGATACTTAATATTTATTTAGGATAAATTATTAAATTGCTATATTGTATTTTTAATTAATATTTATCTTTTCTGTAAGCTGCCCAGAGTCATTTTTTAATGAGATGGGTGGTAACAAATTTGATATATAAATATAAATAAATAAATAAATAAATAACATTTTAATATCTACCAGCCTTCAAAATGTTTTATTTCTTTTTTAAATTAAAAAACACTACATATTGTTTTTTTAAAAAAATGTTTATATTCTAGGTACAACTTTTGTTCTGGCTACCAAACTACATATTGTTTTTTTAAAAAAATGTTTATATTCTAGGTACAACTTTTGTTCTGGCTACCAAACTACATATTGTTTTTTTAAAAAAATGTTTATATTCTAGGTACAACTTTTGTTCTGGCTACCAATTTATATTTTATGAACTTGCTGCATATTATATATCTAATCCATATCTGACAATTCTATACTGTTTAGAACTTATGTTCAATATCCTTTGCTAGATAAAATATCACTTTGACTCCAAAGAGCAATATAAATAAATATATTCAGAGATATGAGTTTACATTTCATGACTGAACATATACAGTGGTACCTCTAGTTACGAATGCCCCTACTTACGAATTTTTTGAGATACGATCAGCTCCGGCCCCAAAAATTTACCTCGACTTGCGAACCCGCCTCGACTTGCGAACCGGATCCGCGGCCATTTCCCGCCTGTTCCACGTGGTCCGTGGCCATTTCCT